TTTGGCAGCAGACTTGGCAACTTCCTTTCTGCCCATCCCCCACCCTGACCTCATCCAGGTCTTCACTTTACAAAACCTCAACGCTCAACCTCACCTCCTTTCCTTTCACTCCAATGGGAGAGATTCCCCCCTGTGGTTCTAGCTAATTCCCACAGCTGATGGAGACCAGCTCAGTCTTGCTGCCCGTCCCACTCCCTAAGAAATTCGGTCACTCACTCAGCTAAATCATCACCTCTACTCTCAAGCCTTCTTAATACCCCATAATCATTTGAAAATACGTGTAAGCTGAGATATAATCTACACACATAAAATCCATCCTTTCAAAGCATATAACTCAGTGGATTTTAGTATATTCATATGGTGGTGCAACCAACACCACTATCTATTCCAGAACGTTTTTATCACCTCAAAAAGAAACCTGTGGGCCGGGTTCGGTGGCTTAGCCTGTAATCCCAGCACTTTGGGAGGCCAAGGTGAGTGGATTGCCTGAGCCCACGGGTTTGAGACCTACCCGGGCAACTTGGTGAGACCTCGTCTCTACAATAGATAAAAAAAACTATCCGGGCGTGGTAGCACGCACCTGTAGCTCCAGCTACTTGGAAGGCTGAGGCGGAAGGATCGCTGAGCCCAGTAGGTCGAGGCTGCGGTGGCCGGGAGCAGCCACTGCACTCCAGTCTGGGCGACGGAGTGAGACTCCAACTCAAAAAAAAAAAAAGAAAAAGAAACCTGTGGCTAGGTGCAGTGGCTCATGCCTGGAATCCCAACACTTTGGGAGGTTAAGGTGGGAGGATGCTTGAACCTAGGAGTTCAAGAACAGCCTGAGCAACATAGTGAGACTCTGTCTCTATTAAAAAATTAGGTGGGTGTGGTGGTACACACCTGTAATCCTAGCTATTTGGGAGGTGGAGGCAAGAGGATTGCTTACGTCCAGGAGTTTGAGACCATTCTGGGCCACAGAGCAAGAACTCATCTCTACAAAAAAATTAAAAAATAAATAGAAAAAGCAACCTGTTTCCATTAACAATCACTCCCTATCCCTTCCTCTTCCTCAGCCCCTGGCAACCACTAATCTACTTTCTGTCTCTATGGATTTGCCTTTTTTGGGCATTTCATATAAACGGGATCATAAATGACCTTTGTGTCTGGTTTCCTTCCTTTAACATAATGTTTTTAAGCTTCATCTATGTTGTGGCATGTATTAGTGCTTTCACGACTGTATGATATTCCAATTCATGGGTATACCACGTTATGGACCGAATGTGCACTCCTCAAAATTCCTGTGTTGAAGACTTAACCGCCAGTGTCTTGGGACACTATCCCTGCCCCAGTTGGTCCAGAAAGCAGGACCACGACCCACTGAGTTCAGAAGACAGAGCATTGAACCAAGAGGGTTATTTTCAGGCTTTAAGTTCTAATGGCATTTGCCTTGCTAGCTGTTGGGCTGACTTGGGACCTATCATCCTTTTTTTCCCCTTCCAGTTTCTCCCTTTTGGAATGGAAATGTCTAGTTTCTGCCTGTCCCACCACTGTATTTGGATACACACAATTTGTGTGAATTCACAGGTTCATGGCTAAAAAGCAATTTGTGTTAGGATGAATTGTACCATAAGTCTCACCATATCTTATGTAGATGATATTTAGATGAGACTTTGGACTTCAGGCTTTAGAGTTGATGCCAGAATAAGTAAAGACTTTTGGGGGCTATTGGGAGAGTATGAATACATTTTGTATGTAAAAAGGACATGCAAGGAGGCCAAGGGTAGAAAGATATGTATTGAATGTTTGTATCCCCACCAAATTCATATTTTAAGTCTAACTTCCAGTGTGATGGCATTAGGAGGTGGGGTCTCTGGGAGTTAATTTGGTTTAGATGAGGTTGTAAGGGTATAGTCCCCATGGTAGATGAGTGCCCTTATAAAAAGGGGAAGAGACCCCAGGGCTTTGTCTCTCCATCAGGTGAAGAAACATGGAGTAAACAGGTGAATCTGATAGCACCTTGATCTTAGACTGAATCTGATGGCACCTTGATCTTACACGTCCTCTAAAACTGCAAGAAATAAATGTCTGTTGTTTAAGGCTCCCAATCTGTGATATTTATAATACATAACACATTTAAAAAAATCAACAGTTGATGGACTTTTGGATTGTTTCCACTTTCTGGCTATTTACCATGTACAAGCTTTTGTGTGAGCATATGTTTTCATTTTCCTTGAGTATATCCCTAGGAGTATAATTGCTGGGTCATGTGGCAACTCTACATTTAACTTTTTGAAGAAAGACCAGACTGTTTTTAAAAATGACTGCATCATTTTAATCCTACCAACAACGTATGAAGGTTCCAATTATTCCATGTTCTTTCCAACACTTGTCATTGTCTGTCTTGTGGATTAAAATCATCCTAGTGGGTGTGAAATGGTATCTCATTATAATTTCGACTTGCATTTCACTGATGGCTAATGATGTGAAGCATTTTTTCAGGTGCTTACTGGCCATTTGTACATCTTTTTGGGAGAAATGTCTATTCAGATCCTTTGCCCACTTCAGAATTAGATTATTTGGTTTTTTTTTATTGTTTAAGTGTCTATCATCACTTCAAGATGCTCAAATTGCTACCATTTTAAAGCAAACAAACCCTTGGTCAATCCCAGATCCCTGCTGCAGCTGCTGTCTCAAAAAAAAAAAAAAAATCCCTGTTTTTTTGCAGAATTTCTTGAAAGAGCTCTCTACATTTGTGGATTCTACCTACCCTCTTTTCACGTATTGCAGTCTGGCTTCTGAACCTCACACTTCACTGAAATTGCTTTTGGAAAGGTTGTTCTGTCACTAAATCCAAGGCACTTCAGTTGTTAGCTTGTCTGATTTCCCAGTGGTATTTAATGCCAAGGCCCTCTTCATCTTTATGGAAGGGCTAGAGGTCCTTGGCATTAGGGACGGCACAGGCTGCTGATTTCTCTGGCTGCTTCTTCAGTTTTTCTGGTGAGCTTCTCTTCTTCTGCTCCTTTTTACATCTTAATCTTCTTCAAGATTTTGTCTTGTTACTTTCCACCTTTATGTGTTCCCACCAGGCATTCACATTCGTTCCCATGGGTTCTCAAGGACCACTTAACGCTGTTGGCTCTCCTCCCTATCTGCTGCCTGGACTTCCCACCTGACATCTGTTTGTATACCTGCCTCATCAATATCTCTGCTTAGATTCTCATCTGTCCTCAAACTTTATCCCAAACCAAACATTTGACCTTTACTCTCTTGCCTGCCCTACTCAGTGAATAATGTCAATGACCAAATTCTGTCAATTTAAAACTTTTTAAATCATTCACATTTGTCTGCTTTCTTCTGTTTTCATCACCTATGTCCTAGTCCAGTACCATTTCTTCTTCCTTCTCCTCTCCCTCCCTCATTTCTCTCTCTCTCTCTGTCCAGGGTCTCACTCTGTCACCCAGGCTGGAGGGTAGTGACATGATCTCGCCTCACTGCAGGCTTGACTTTCTGGGCTCAGGTGATCCTTCTGCCTCCCAAGTAGCTGTGACCACAGGGTTGTGCCATCATGCTTGGCTAACTTTTTGATATGTGTAAAGCGAAGTCTCACTATGTTGCCTAGGCTAGTCTCAAACTCCTAGGCTCAAATAATCCTCCCACCTCGGCATCCCAAAGTGCTGGGATTACAGGCGTAAGCCACCATGTCCCGCCATTTTTACCATTTCTTTTCTTTTTTTTTGAGTTGGAGTCTCACTCTGTCACCCAGACTGGAGTGCAGTGGCTGCTCCCGGCCACCGCAGCCTCGACCTGCTGGACTCCGACAATCCTTCCGTCTCAGCCTTCCAAGTAGCCGGAACTATAGGCGCACACTACCACACCCGGCTAATTTTTTGATTTATTGTAGAGATGAGGTCTTGTCAAGTTGCCCAGGCGGGTCTCAAACCCGTGGGCCCAGGCAATCCACTCTCCTCAGCCTCACAAAGCGCGGGATTACAGGCTGAGCCACCGATCCCGGCCATTTTTACCATTTCTTAATGGAAGATGAAGATGACCAAGACATCCTCCTGATTGATCTCCCAGCTCTCCCCTCTTCTCCAAATCACAGCCAGACATCTGTTTAACATGCACATCCCGCCACGTCATCCCTCTGCATACCTGAGCTGTTGTAAGTGATGGGATTTACAGTGGCTTCAGAGTTAGGCATGCGGGTTTGTCTTACCATCATTAACTCGCGGGAGTTAACCTCTCTAAGCCTTAGGTTTTTTTCATTAAAAAAAAAAAAAAAACAGGCCACGAAGAGCACCTCTCCTAGGCCTTCATGAGGATTGAGACCATGCACATAATGCCCTTGGTTCGGAGTTGGTCACATTTAACTGCTCAATACATTTTTACTATTATTTTTATTAAAGCCTTCCAATAGAGGCAAATCAATTAGCCTCACTTTCAACCTAAAATGCGGGGATTAAAGGGCATGGCTTTAATAAACTCTTTTAAGGCAGGCTTTAATAAACTCTTTTAAGGCACTACTCCTTTGGACACTGAAGCCTGGTAATCAATTGCAGCTCCATTCAGCGCTAGCCACTCAGCCCAGCGTCCAGAAGTCCTCTGGAGAGGAGGGGGCAGCGGCTGCAGCTGGCACTCCGGGAAAAGGACGCAGAGCGACAGGACAGGTTCAGGGAATCCTGCGGTTGCTGGAAAGAGCTGATCCTTGACCTGTTACCCAGGCGACAGCCCCACCGCGACGTCTCCTGGCACAGGCTGGCCTGACCCGCAGCCATGAGTGCCGAAAGCCTAGGCAGCAAAGCAGACACAAGCAAACCGCAACCCGCAGGACGCATCTCCGCCCGGGCGCTTCCTCCTTTGCCTGGCTCCTGACGGGAAGGGGGGAGAGGAGGGGAGGGACGGCGATGGGGGAGAAGGAGGACGGAGGGCAGAGCCCCACCCCACCCTGCGGGCCCCGGGACGCTGGCTGCGGGCTCCGCCGCCAGAGGCTGGGCCCGGGTCCCGGAGCCCGCGGCGCTCACCTTGAAGGACATCCTGCACATGTCCGCGGCGCGCTGCGGGCCGGGGTGCCTGGACCTCCCCG